TAAAATTGGTATTAGCCCTTTAGATACAAAGAGATGGATTTTATCAGATGGAATTACTACATTAGCCTTTGGGGATTGGCGTATTATTGCATATAAGAAAATGATAGGTAAAGGAATGTCTCATGAAGAAGCAGAAAAAAGAATGATAAAGCTAGAGTTAAAACCCCAATATCAATAATAGATCAGCTTACTTGCTCAAGTTGAAATATTTCTTTCCATATATTTACAAATAATTTTTTTATCTAAATAATATATATTACAAAAAAAATGTCATCAACTAAAATAAAAAAATCCCGCTATTCCAAATTACAAGAACAACTTAATAAACTTGAAAATAAATTTGATATACTGGATGATGATTTACTTGAGTTTAAATGGGAAATAGATGATATTAAAAAGACCTTATCTTTGATTAAATCTAGCAATACAAAGTTTTTTAAAAATTCCGGAACTCTATCTGAATCAGACTTATCAGATAATAGGGGAGCTAGTGTCTAACACATATAAAGTGATACCACATGATAATTTTCGTTTAATAAATTATATTTACCTAATGTAGGAAAACAAGTCGACCTACCCATCTGCCATATTTAATTTTTTTTGGCTATATATATCATTCAAAAATGGAACGTAACAAAAAGCGATCAACTAATACTAAACTACATAAAGATACCTCCATTATGATCGATGTAATAGGGTTACATATAAATCTTATTTATTTGAGATTAAAAGCAGTCGAGTCTGAGCTAAGAGATAAAAAGGCAAAATGTAAGTGTGAATTACCAAAATTTGAGACCGATAATAGCGATACATCAGATGAGATGGAATCTCGAAGCTTTGCTTCCTCAAATTGTTCTGATATTTTACCTGATGTTATTACAGTAAAAAAGATACATGAGTCTAAAGACCTCGGCTCTATCCATTCTAAACCTAAAAAGAAATGAAATAAGAACAAGATATATAATTGTACAAAGGTACGTAAAAAATTTTTATAGCCTTGATATATAAATTGATCGTATAATAAACCGCAATCACGATATTCTGATTTTTACTGCATGTGTTTGGACGTACTTTACAGGTTAGATTCACATGTTTTTTGTGTGACCTAATTTCTCACATATACTCTGATTTGGTATTTTTTATTAATTTTAATGTTTTTCGCCGATCATAAAACTCGTCTTTCCATATCGATTCTGCTATAATGAACTTTCGGACGTAATGCTATTTCGAGTTGGATATTTTTTCAAGTAACTATGAGTGGGAATATAACTGAGAAAAGGTGGGTGTTTTCAGAAACTTATGTGAGTTATGTCTACCAATATCTCATGTCTCGAAACTTTCGCCCTAAATATTATTAAA